TTAAAAAAAATTATACTATTATTAAAAATATACTATTCTACGAAAAAATTAACTTGGCCTTGAAATATTATTTATACTATGCCCCCCTTTATACCAAATAATTTTTATAAGATCATTTCTTTGCTATTTCAAAAAGTCCAGATAAAATACTCATCACACCCTCGGTATAATGAAAGTTGTTCAGAATGATGACATTAACGAGCTATTTCAAGATCATCAAATTCAGTGACCTTGTACTTTATTCATTATAAACACTTACCCAAAAATGCATAAAACACGAAAGCAAGAAGCTTTACAATTTAATAAACGTAATTAATATTATCGGAATAGTTGCTAAAACCGGTAAATGCAGATACGAACATGTGAACAAATTTTTTTTCACGATGTAATCGCACGGTGTAATATTTTATCACGATTCTAACGTGTTATTTCGCGCCAGTGCTGTAGGAAAAGCAGCGAAGCGCCCGCGGCAAGCGACGCGTTAATTAGCTTTGACGGAACGTTATAGTCGGGCCTTTAGACCGAGCAGAGCGACTACGCCTTTGGGAAGTCGTTACAGGTATTTACAAAAGGCGTGTACTGTGCATCTACGAGATGGTTAAACAAAGCAACGTTGGTCTGATTGACGATAGCGTAATAAGACCGCCTTTCCTGCCACGACTATGAAGATAGGATACACGAATTACCATTGCTGCCACGCGTGTTTGCAAAAATGTTCCTACGTGGGTGTAGCGCCCTACGGTTCTTTTATTTAACCTGCTGCAAAAGAATTACAATAATAAATTGTTAGTCGCGCCTTGAACAGTTAATCAACAGAGCTCGCACGAGCGAAAAGTATTACGTCCACAGCGATCGTAAGCGCTAAGCACGCACAGTGTCCCTGTGAAGCTCTTCGGTAGAGAGTCGTCCGCACTTTAAGGGTTAAGGACTTTCTCGTAAGTCCTTTGAAAACCTCCGTTTCCTATACATATAATTTCCCGACCTTTCAATAGTATCCCGGTCTAAGGCAGGGCCTGCTAGGGTAGTCTTACTAATGAGTCCACTAGCAGGCCCGGGACCAAACGCATCCCTTCCTTTTCCTTTCGCCCCTTCTAGCGCCACCGCTGCTACGGAGGATGCCAGCCACCGAAGGGACTTCAACGAACGTAGGTTTAGGACCCTATATGTATAAGAATAAAATATAGGATGGCGACTGTATTGGCGCCATACGAGTGGAAAGCATTAAACGGGGATTATATCTTTTTCAATTGAATAAGATAATGGATAATTCGGTGCAAGCACTGATGAACAAAATGTAATAAAGATATAATGATCTCGATGAATGTATTAGTTTTTGTAGCGTCCTACGCTATCGAATCTCTTCGATTTCCAAGAACGCTTATCACGCGCCAAATTAATATTGCGTGACTAGTTGTGATAATAAGGATCCAGAATGTGTGTGGTCAAAAGAGAGTGTTTATTTAGAGAAAAGCGTAGAATATTTATAATGTAGACGTTAACGGAGTACCGTTTCGAACACGCGTTTGTACGTGTAACTTAGATGTTTGAAGGATCGGTGCCGAAGACGAACTGACTTCTCGATTTTGCTCTATGTCCTGTCTCGTCGTGTTCGGTCCGGTGTTTTCTCTAGTTTAGTTCTGATTGGGTAAAATAGATGTTGGTGGTGGAAAGGTAAAGAGTTTTAATTGGACAGAGGGTGTGACATAAGGACCTTTGCCTAAGGAGTAGGAAACTGTCAAGGAGCCGATTTCTGATGGTCAATGACGTGATTTATAAGTGCCGTCCGTCCGTCGCTCGTTGGGTCTGTCACAAGTGGGTCCCATCCGTCGAGTCTGGTACCAGTAAAATTCCTAATTTCGCTTTACCTTTATAAACTTAATTCGCTAGAACGGCGTTGGGGCACATCGAACCTCCGGAATTGCAGTCGCGGTATAAAATATAAAATAAACCGTTAGGTCTGTTAAAAGTGTAAGCCTTAATTATAAAATCATATTCTAAACACGCTCTCCGGGACGGAACAGTGGGAATGAAAGTTTCTTGAGTTAATTTTATCGAATGAGTCACGAGTCTTTTTCGAAATGTAATTACGTTTGATTAAAATATCATTTTTAAATTTGGAACAATATTATAGGTGCAAACAAAAGAATCGTTTTAAGTAAGTGGACCGTGTTTGCTATAGTTATTTCGAGATTGTTTCATGACTGTACCAAGACTTTTATGCGTCCGTATTTATTATAATTATTGTATTTATTGTAATTTAATCTTGAAAATACAGTACAGATGTAAATAAAAAAATTATTTTAAATAAATGGAACATACTTATTATAGTTATTTCGAAATTAAAATATCTATGCGTCTCGTTTCTTGACTATATGAAGGTTTTTATGCGTTTGTATTTAT